CACTACCTCTCTCTGGTTTCACGTGCTTTTCATCACCCCAAAAAATGTCCCTTACTCACTGGACACTAACTCCCCCTTTTCCCCTTCTGTGATCCCCTAGTAACCCCTGATCTGCTTTCTGTCTCTATGTACTTGCTTGGTCTGGACATTTCATATGATTGGAGTCATACTGAAAGGGAGGAAAGGACGCAGACTCCACAGTCCCAGCAGGTTTATTGCTAAACCTTAGAGGGACCCCTCTGTTCTGGCCAGCAGGAAAGGGGTCTCTTAAAGGGCCTAGAGGCTTTTTATGGCCAGGGTTTTTTGGCAGGCTTTTTGAGGGGAGAGTCAGGGGAAAGGTGGGCTTGTGGCTTGCTTACATGTCCTCTGGAGAATGCATGGAGCCTAGGTAAGATGACACCTAGGTCTCTCTGAGATGGTGGGTGGGCTTATTCGAAAGGTGGTATTTGGGCCCGGATTCTATCACATACAGTATGTGGTTTTCTGCAGCTGGCTTCTTTCCCTCCACGTGATGTTTGCAGGGTTCATCCATGTGGTGGTACTTCATTCCTTTTTATGACTGAATGATGCTCCATTGTATGTATACCTGGCAATTTGTTTATCCATTCTTCGATGGTGGACACTTGGGCTGCTTCCACCTTTGGCTATTACAGGAATAACACTGCTGTGAACCCACGTGTACAAGTCCTTGTGGACATACTTTTTCATTTCTGTGGGCGTGGACCTAGGATGGAGACTCTTTCACCTTCCCAAGAGCAATATGAGGATTGATATGATCATGCACCCAAGGTGACTCACCTGTAAGAGGCAGAGCCATGGTCTACACTCAGGACAGTGTGATTATAGAGCTCCTGCCCTTCCTCTGCCCTGAGGCTCCTTCCTGTGGGTGCCCATGAGGTAGAGTGTAGTGGGGGGAGTCTGTGCAGGGCATGACAGGAAGCAAAGGCTAGCGAGTGTGTGGCGAGCCAGGTGCATGCGGAATAGAGGCCTCTGAGGGTGATGGGGACCAGATTCTGGAAGGTTCTCAACACCAGTATGGTAGCCAAAGTCAGGCTGCCAGCAGTAGATGCACTTCGAGGACATGTGGGGCTGGTTTAGAAAGCCCATCTTCACGCACAGACTGAGAAAATGAGGAGCAGTGTGACCTTTCCACGTGACTTTTACAATTAGAGAGCCACACCTCTTAGCAGGGATGAGAAATGAACACTGGTGCCAACACAGGCACATATACACGAAGCATCATAACTCCCAGGCCATGGCCACAGTGGCTGCAGCAGTTATGGGAATAGAGAATTCAGAGGGACCTGTACAGACAGCACAGAGAAACGGGAAGCAGTTGAGATGTGTGGACCCTCCCCCACATGCATTCAAAAATTTGCGATTTCAGAGGTTATACAAACAATTCAAAGATCTAATCTGCAGGCTTGGACCCTAAGTTTATTTATTTTGCTATTCTTTCTCTTGTCTATGAAGATGGATATTTAGCTCATTTATGTTCAGCATTTTTTTCCCAATTATAAGTATCTAAAGTTCTGCATGTACTTCTAAATTTTACTTTAGCTGCATCCTGTAGTGCTTTCCTAATCATTCATTTGTTAATATTTCCTAATCTTCATTTAACTTCCTCTTTGACCTTTTGGGTTGGTTACCTATTGCTGCATTGAAAAACACTTAGCTTGAAACAATAATCATTTGCTTTTATCTCATGATTGGTGGGTCATAAATTTGGGCAACTTTCAGCTGGGTGGTTCTTTTGCTTTCCTAAGTGGTGACTAAGGTAACTGGTGACATTCAGCTGGAAGATATGCTGGTCTGGAGGGTCCAAGACAACCATCTGCCACATGCTTGGCATCTTGGCAGTGATGGCTGGGAGGCCAGACTCAGGTGAGACTTTGGCGTGTCTGCACATGGTTGCCCGTGTGTGGTGGTCTCAGGAAGGTTGGAGTAATTCAAGGTGGCTCAGGGTTCCCAGAGAGAGTGATACAAGATGAAGGAAGCTACTAGTCTGAGACCTGGATCAAGAATCCAGCAGAGCACTCTTCCCCACATTCTGCTGCTCAAAGCAGACCTCAGAGATTCATTAGAAAGGACACAGATCCTGCCTCTAGATGGGAGAAGTGGCAAAGAATTTCTGGTCATCTCTTTGTGCTAAACTGTGTCCCCTCAAAGTTCATATGTTGAAATCCTAACCCCAGATCTTCAGAATGTGACTGTATTTGGAGGTAAGATCTCTACAGAGACAGTTAGGCTAAAACAGGGTCATGAGGGTAGCTCTCATCCAACCTGACTGGTGTCCTTACAGGAAGAGGGAAGGAGAACACAGACATACAGAGGGAGGGCACCTGAGGACTCAGGAGCAAACACTGGCTGCCCAGGAGAGAAGCCTCAGACAGACCGACCCTGCGAGCACCTTGACCTTGGACCCTGAGCCTCCAGACTGTAAAACAATACATTTTTTGTTGTTTTATGGCTTTTGCTTTGTTTTTAGGTTAAAGAGAAGGCACTTCTAGAAATAACACTGGGACAACACTAACACCAATTGTCTAGAAAGTAGTTCTAAGAGCTAGAGTCAGAATATTAACAAGCCCTGACATATAACTTTTTATGGACATAACTCTTAACTGATATAAAAGAGGCTTGATCTGGAGAGGCCACAAAGAGAGCCTCTAAGGTAGATGGCCAGCACAAGGGTGATTGTCCACAAGAAAAGTTTAAAAAGAACTGGTAGCATGTGTGGTAGGCAAGGAAGTTTTCCCCATGTACTCAAGTACAGTCAGGATTTTGAGTCAGTAGTGACTAACCAATTTGTTCTTCCTGAGAATCAGGAATTGCAGCCAGAGATACAAGATTTAGTTTATAGGAAGACAATCTATGAATCCCTGGAATTTATGCCAGGAGAAACTGTCATCTGCCCTTTCTGGCAATGCTGAAGAAAGGTATAGTAGGCTACTTCTGTTAATATTCAATATGCAATCTAGCCTAGAATCGTAGTGCCCATTCTGAATAATAGTAATTATTCCTCTGCTTTATTGAGCTGCTGCTCACATTTGAGACACAATGGTGGATATTCTACTAACATGTTTTATCTAATTGAATCTTCTCAGCATTTTTGCATTATTAGTTTTTATGAATATGCTGATTTTGCAAGTGGGGAATTTAAAGATCGGAGAGGGTAAGTTACTGATATTGGGTCATACAACTATTAAGTAGTAGAGCAGAGATGAAAGTCCAAGTTCATTGGTGTTTGAGGATTGTAAGTAGCAAAACCAACTCTGGGTATCTCAAGCAAAATAAATAAAGATATGTTAGTCAGGGTTTTCTAGAGAACCAGAACCAATAGGATATTGAGAGAGATGTAAGAAGAGATGTATTATGGGAATTGGCTCAGGTGACTATGGAGGCTGAGAAGTCCCACAGTGCACATCGGTGGGGGCCAATCTCTTTATGCAGTCTAGTGACCCATGGGCTCTTTCCAAAAGACCCTCACAGACACCCAGAAATAATACTTTATCAGCTCTCTAGGTGTCCCTTAGCCTAGTCAAGTTGACACATAAAAGTATGCAAATAAAGGAAAATAAATAAAACATAGATGGATAAAACAAGCCAATGGAAGGGTATGGAAAAGGGTAAATACCTGTGGTTTATGCCACCAGCTTGTGGTACTTTGCTACGGTAGCCTCTGCAAACAAAGACACCGCCTTTGGTCTTTGCATCCGTGATGTATGTATGACTATGTTTCTTACACTCCAGTCACTTGGATTTTCTTCTAGTGGCCTTTTTGGTTATTGATTTCTAATTTAGTAGAACTGTGGCTAGGGAATCCACTCTTTAATTTATCAGTCATCTGAAATTTGTTGAGGCTTGTGTTTTGGTCCAGAATGTGTACGATGTACATAAATATTCCATGTACGCTTGACAAGCATGTGGGCCCCATAGTCATGGTCCTGTGGTCCTTACACACCCATTGGGTCAGGTAAGGAGGCTCAGGAGAGGCCCTTCTTCCCGTGGTTCTCTGCTGGTTGTGCTGGGTGAAGTTTCTAGCTCACCTGTGCATTGAGGATCCAGCCGCATGGGGCCCTAGCTTTGGGGGGCCTCCTGCTGGACTCCCAATCTTGGATAGCACTGGGCTTTTTCTTCTTCCCTCTCCCTTTCCTCCCAAAGCCACAGGAATGGATGCTCAGTCCACCCTGATTTGCTCCCAAAGCAAAGACCAGCTGGACTTAGATCAACCCCTCCGAGGCCTCTTGACTTCACTCATCCTCTCACCTTTATCTTCTAAAACTTTTGCCAGCTTGTGGATGCAAATCAAATAATTTTTTAAAAAATCTTTCATCCAATACATGGGGAACTGAATATGTAAAGGGACAATGGCCAGACCCTATACAGAAATGGAACTCTAACCTAAAACCTGCAGCAACCTGTCCAGGAAAACAACCCTTTATCCACAGTGACCAGCCCAGGTAGCCAGCCTGCCATCTGTCAGGCTGCTAGGAAGCCAGATCACTATCTACCAACAATACAGGAAGTCCATAACCCCCATAACAATCAGCCCCAAGTGTCCAGGACTTGATTAATAACTGGCAGCTTACCTGTCCCTACTCCCAACTTAGGACCAACCAGAGAAAGCCATATATGCACCTGTAACCAATCACCTAAGATGCCTCACTACTCCTTGGCCGCTACAGCTTCCCCAGGCCAGCAATCTCCCACTGGGGCTCACCTGGAGCCTCCCCTTCTCCCACCAGGAAGCTTCCTCTCTTCTACCTGCCTCTGAGTCACTGCCAGGATGCCAGTGCCCACTGCCTTGCTCCAGCCAACTCAGAATGAATGCCTTTGCTTCTCTCATTTGGGTAGTCTTCATTTATTTCCACAGATGTTTACCTGTTTTGGTTATTTTAACCATTTTCAGTTGTTTCTGGAACTTCTCAGTTAATGGTGTTTCTCACCTATTTCCACAACAGAGACTTGCTCTGGACAGAACCTCAGCCATTCCTTTGTATCTCCCCTTCACCTTGCCTCACAGAGGTCCTAGCCCAACCTCAGTCCTGAGGCCTCTCTACATTACCTGTTCTCCACAAAGTGGCCAGAAAGACATTTCCAGAATGTGAGCCTGCCCACCTCACTACCCTGATCCACCATTTCCAGCCCAGCCCCCACCATCGCATTACTATTGTCTACTCAGGAGACAGCTGCTAAAATAGGAATCAAAGAATTCCTCATGAGAAAAGCAAGATCCTCAAAAATGGTGATATTAGCAGAATCACGGCATTGGCGTGTTCCCTGTAACAGTGGGCTGTTGAGATCTCCAATCGGGAATGGAGGTCTGTGTAAAATGCTGGGATTCAGATCTGTCTTCCTGGCTTTCACAAATCTGAGGTTGAGACAGGGACCATGGGTTTAGACACAGTAGGGTGAGGGCCTCTGGAAAACAAAAGCAAGATAATCCATTGTGGGATTTGCTTTGGCCTGCTGGGGGGCCCAGCTTATTTTTCTGACTTTACCCAAGTGCTGCTTTTCTTCCTCCAGCCCTAAACAAATGATTTGTTGCAGCGCAGGCAATGTAGCAAGCAAGCCCAAAACAACATAGTAAGAACAGGAAGGATTCCATTTTGGAACCTAATTAGTTAAAAAGTAAGACAATAACCCAGCCCACCTTGGGAGCCTTGAGTGATAGGCTCCCAGACCAGGAAGCTGCTATCTTGGGAGGAAATCAGAGCAGTAAAGTTCTTGTAAATAACCAGGAAGACTAATAAGAAACTTAGTGTTTCTTCAAAAGTATTTGGGACCATTTAGCAGGTGTACATCCCTAGCCCTTTGTCTCTCAACTGCCTGTAAAACCCCTAGACCACGCACCACCCCGGGGCTCTCTTGTCCCCTCCCGGCTTGAGCCAGGAGGTCTGTCTTTTTGCTTTTTCTCTAAATGAAAGCCTCTGCCGTGCTCTCCTACCTTGACTGTTCGCGAAGTTCATTCTTCGGCCATGAACAAGAACCCCGGCATCAATATCATAGTAACTAGAAGAAAGATGTTTCAGAGTAAAGAAGCCACACCTCTGTGGTCAAGTGGCCTGTCAGTGGACACCACTCGTCTATCTGGGGAAAAAGCAAAGATAAGGAATCTGCCTGTAGGAGAAATAACTAGGTGTGTGGAAAGCCTCTGTGGTACACGTACCTTCGGTGAGGAAGAAAAACTTTCTCAAGGGAAGAAATTTGGTTCCGGAACAAGGGAAGTCAGACTATCCAAAAAGCAAGGAAGGAATTCATTTAAGTGACAATAGCAGGGAATGGCAGCTGCCTTGCAGGCGGCTGAGAGCAAGGAAGAGCAGAGGCAGGAAACGGAAGCTCATTGAACTCCTGCTCAGCATTGGGTAAATCCCTTGCCAACTCCTAAAGCCAGGGTCCCTGGGCATCCGGTGTCTGCTTGAATCTGCACAGTGTGGGAACGAAGCCCCTGCCACCCAGGATTTAGGTGAGTGACAGAGCACTGGATGGAGTGAGATTATATTCTGGGAACTTCCCAAAGGCAAAGAAAGATTTCCAGGCAGGCTGCTAAACAGTGTGGCTGTATAGCTGGCAGTCCCCTCCAGGTCAGCCAGGTGACAGGAATTTACAAGCCCGAATCAGCTCTCAGGAGCCCCGCCCTACTTTCTGGAGTGGAACAGAGAGTAACACACTCGAAGAAAGAGGAGTGTAGGCAACCTCAGAAAGGAGGTGCACTCGCACTTAAGGGTTTAGGGTCTGAGGTTTTATAGGCCTTATGGTAGGGTTCAACATAAGGCATGATGTATACAGGTGATTCATAGGTCCTCTGAAATTTTGTTTAAAGAGTAGTGTTATTTAGGTGACTGTTGGTGTGAATTTCAGCATTCTTTATCCACTTAGGTTTATTTACACTTTGGAGGTCTGTCTTGTGTTCTGGTTACAAAGTTACTTGACTAAAGGGCTAGTCAAAGAGGAAGAACAGCATATACACAAAGTTAAAGAATAAGCTGGGCGTTTTTCACAGGCTTGTATTTTACAACAGCATGACTCTTGCCTTATTTTTCTGCTTTAGTTGACGCGGAAGGACACAGAAATTTTTGATTGACAGTCTCAGACCTCAGAGGCCTGATCTAATTGGTACAATGAAGACATGGGCTGAGCTCTGATACTTTTCTTTATCTGGGGAATTGTTTTTCATCTGGAGAATATCCAGACATTCCAAATTACTCCTGACCTTTGAACTTCTAATTAATTAACTGTGAGTCCTCTCTGGCTCTGTGATTTAATCAGGTTAACTCTTTGAGTCTCTTTTAGTGGGTTTTACTGGCTTTGTTCTTTCTCCACCCTGCTCCTGTCTGTCTTTCTCCCATTGGTGGGGGAGGAAGGGGGTGCCAACCGTGAACAGCCAAAGTTCTTTCTGGTGTAGCATGCCCTGAGCATCTGTCCCTTCACATCACTGCAGAGCCTTCCTAGCTCACTTTGCTCAGAATCAAACCTGGCCTGAGGTCAGGAAAGCCTTCCCTGTCAGGGGACATTTGAGTTGAGACCTGCAGTGAGGAAAAAAACTTGCCCAGAATTTCAGCTTAACTGACGATGAATGCCTGCTGGAATCTTGCCATGAATTTTGTGACTTTGAAATCTTTTAAATTAAGGGATTAATTTGGCACCCTCAACTTAGTGTGCAAGTATGGTTCTGTTCAGGAAAAAGAGAGAACTCCCTCAGGAGGGTTATCATGTCCATCAAGTCCTTATCAAAGCAGAAACCTTGCAAGACTGTAATTCATTTTCACCCAATAGTTTACTTTGGGCTCACCAAGAAAATTGCTCATTGTTAACCAAGCATCAGGTTCTATTTAAATCAAAATAATTTCTATTTACACAACTTAGAGAAGGTCTTCAGAGAAGGAAGAAATAGACTTTGCTGAAAGTATTTGCTCCCGCCCAGCTCTGAGCAAACATTGTCTCATTAATCCTGACCACAACCTAAAGGGAGGTTCAGAGAAGAAGGTCCACCTGATGGAGTAGAAATGGCTGTACCCTGAAGTAGCTGCTAACAGTCTGGGCCTGCAAGCTTTTACTTTCCACAGTACATTGATTCATTCCATTGTCCTATGTCATTAAACTAAACTTAAGAAAGCCAGTTCTGTTCTATCACTCAGCAGCTGGACAGAACAAGAAAATAGTATCTTCCATTTCTTCTCAGTTTTTCATTTTTACTATGTTCTACTAGATTATCAAACTTCATCAATATACTAGGTTCTCAAATTAGAGAAATGAACAGTCCTACTTTATACAAAAAAATATAAAACTGAGTTATTTTTGGATGCAGTGTAGCCAATGACCACTTTTGTATTCCTAGCACAGACTGTGCCAAAATACTGTGTATGTGGCCTGGTGTATGGATGAGCTATAGATAGATGATAGATAAATAGATATAGATAGATAGATAGATAGATAGATAAACAGATATATGGAAAGCAGGTAGATAAATAGACCAGTCTAGCATAGGGTGGCTACTGACCTTTATAACACCACTGAGGTAGGTGCTATGATCCCCATGTTATAGCTGAGGCCCAGAGAGGGGCAGCAGAGCCCAAAGACACACAGCTAGTGAATGGCCGAGCCAAGAGCTGATCTATGCCAGGATCAGTTTGATGGTTTTTCCCAACTGTAGGCTAATGTAAGTGTTCCGAGTCCACTGAAGGTAGACTAGACTAAGCTATGATGTTCAGTAGGTGAGGCATACTAAACGCATTTTCATTTTTTGACATTTTCAATTTACTGTGAGCTCATCGGGATGTATCCCACTCTAAGGCGAGGAAGGTCTGTATATTAGTCCAAATGTGGCTGTTTTTTGGCCGAAATTTCCTTTCAAGTTTGTGTCCTAAAATAAACTTTTGTAGGGTTCTAATCCCAAATTTGGCAGTTTAGGCCTGTTAAGGTAATTAAGCAAGGAGGCCATTGGACCGAGGTGACTCTAATGCCTCAGTGCCCTATGTAAACACCAAAATCTGAGCCTCTCAAGTGCCTCAAGGTTCGGAAATCAAAGGCTAAGACCACCCATTGCCCCCAGCCCACCAGGGAAGGCCGGCCTTGGCCTGTGTGTGCCCTCTGTGGAAGTCTTTCCTAGGGCCATGGTGGAGAGGAAGCTGCTAACAACTGAGGGACCTGGCGCCGCCTGATCTGAGTGGATTTCTACTCAGATAAACTCTTAAAAATGTTTAATCTGCCTCCATTTATCTTTCAGTGGGACCCACAGACACTGTTATGACATGACTAAGGGAGACAATGTAGGTGATACAAACTTCAACACTTCATGAAGCGGCTGGCCTGCACGAGGTCGGCAGAAAGGGCAGCTGGCAGGAGGTTTCTCTAGGGTGGGGAATACAGAACCGAAAGTGGGTAGAGCACCCAGGGGCAGCTTGGTATCCAGGGACTGGCTAACTGGACATACTGCCTTTCTGGTCAAGCAGAGCATTTACAGGACACACAGTTATCTGTTCCCGTTTGCCACTGTGGCCCCTGGGCAGGAGCTGCACCATCTTGGGCTGGTAATTTATTTCCAGGATACCAAAGCTTCAGAGTTAGTGATCACCTTGGGCCTCAAGGCAGGGGCAATGGAGGTTCCAGGCAGAGTTGTGTGATTTTTTTCTGTGAAGGCTGAGCTGACAGGGCTGGGAGCATGGCTGGCTTTCAGCCTCTGTGTATGTATGTCAACTGCCTGACATTTCTTAAGTTTCTCCTGAAATTCCCACACATCCAGCAACCATTAAAAAAAAGGGTTCTTTATCAAGATGGGGATTTTCTTGTACAATTTATGGTTTAATGCCATCATAATAAATTCTATTTTTTCTTCTGTAATCTGTCCCTGTTTATTAAGCATGTACTATATGCTGAGTGAACTGATGTAAAGGAGAATAGCTATAGGCACCATTAAGATCCCTGCATTTTCTCATTCACCATATCACACCATTGGGGAAAAAAGTGTATCTGATGCTGGCAGATCTAGAACGTTCTTTTGACTATGGTAAATTGAGTAAGGGGTCCACATCCTTATGATACGTGGAAAGATGGGCAATAAGTTGGTCAGACAAAAACAAAAGCAAAACTGCTCGTCTTACATACCATCCACAATACTGATTCAAAGCAGAGAGTCTAAAATCAGTTTATTAGATTAGTGATGGTCACTAAACATAAGTGATATGTCACTAATGATGAGTGTATGTCACTAATAAGAATGTCAAATTTTTAATGGGACAGAGATAAGGGTATTTAAGTCATTTCAATAGAAATAAGTCAATAGTTCTTTAAACTATTTAGTATTAGCATTAAATATGGTGTAACTTTTACATTTTCTAACTTTTGTCTATGTAATTTCTCTAATTTTAAAGCAATAGCTTTGTGAAGTTAGCATTAGCATTGAGTCCTATTCTGAGACAGTATTATAGGCCCATATTTTTTCCATCTGTACTTAATTATAGTGTTGCTTTACCAACAAAAGCAAAGAGTTGAAAATTTGAGAAAGGAAACATGAAAATGAATTCTTTATTTCACAGAATATAACGCACTAAACATCTGAGTTCCTTCAGAGCCTCAGTAAACATGGGAAATATTTAATAACTTAAATTTATGATGGCCATAAAAGCCTTATCAACCAAATTACTTTATGATATAAAAATGTCTAAAAGGTAGGGAAGTAAAATCTTAAAATATAGGTTCTTAGTTTAAGCTGTTTGTTAAAAGAATAAACTTTAACTTTGTGGAGTCAACCTCCCTTTTTTCCAGAAGTAACCCCATCTCCTTCTCCTGCAAGGCCCTGGACCTGTCCTTTCTAGAAGCCTTACCGCATGCGGCTGGATTTACATTTTTACACTCCGAAAGTAAGTTCACTGTGGGAGATTGGCATGTGACTAGCAGGTTAAAACAGCAAGTCTTGGACAAGGCTTAGAGATCCCCATCAATTCTATGGGCCCCAGAGCTGGGAGCAGGGAGCAGGACGTGGGGGTCACTGCCCAGACACTGCCTCCCGGGGGCTGAAATCTTCACTTGCACAATCCCGGTGGGGCCCATTGAATCAAGTACACCATATTGATTTTCCTACTTCATTTCTGTTTGCTTATTGGTCTTTGGTAGGCCCAGTGACTCACTCCCGACCCTGCCAGAGCTTTCTACATCTTGATAACATCTAGATGACTAAAGCCTGGACACCTGGGGAGCCCAGGGAAGGCACTGTGTGTTCAGACCACACTCACTTCAAGGGCCTGTACTTCCTAGAATAGGAACCTGGAAATGGTGACCACTGGCAGCCGTATTTTTGTGGTCCTTGAACCAGAGGAGTTGACTCATTCATGCTAGTGTCTGTGATTAAGCCGTGCCTCCTGGGAGCGGAGGTCAAGTGTGTCAAATTCACCTGTCGAGAAGGTGGGATGTACTTCCAAGGGTGACGGCTGTTGCAGAGCAGCTCATTACCTCCCCTCCTCCAGTCAAGATTCAGCTGAAATCACCTTTGTCCCATTCATTAA